CAGTAGGACACGCTTTACATTTTATGAATAAGAGTTGTACAGTATTGTTTCAAGCTAGATTTTTAAAATTAATATTTCAAAGGGCGGATTTTTAAACCTACTGGAGCCTTAATCGTCATCTGTAGCCGATCCTTTGCTTTCATCACAGTCTGCCTGAAAGAAACTCGGTCTCTCGCCAGATCTTCTGTGTGCTTTTATATTCAAGGAGTCAATTATACTGTGTCCATCTTCGTGCTGGTCGGCCCCTGCCCTCCTTCCTGATACCTTGGCTTCTGCTATTATTATTTTCCAGTCCGCCATGGTGCTTGATATGACCAAAATATTTCAGTTTCCGAGACAAGATGCTGTTTATTATTCCTTGATGTTCAGATCTTTTAAAATGTCAGTATTTCTTGTCCTTTTTGGCTTCCATAATGACTTTCTTAGGATGATAATGTGGCAGTTTCCCCTTGCTTTCCACATCCACCTGGCTTTAGACTATAACCTCATCCTTCAGCAATTTGTTTAGGTTTCCAGGGCAAGCGAGTGCACTGCTTTGTAACGCTCCTGCTAACAGCAGAACTCACCCCAGAGGTGTCCACTTCCAGGGCAAGAGAGTGCACTGCTTTGTAACTTTCCTGCTAACAGCAGAAGGCACCCCAGAGGTGTCCACTTCCAGGGCAAGAGAGTGCACTGCTTTGTAACTTTCCTGCTAACAGCAGAAGGCACCCCAGAGGTGTCCACTTCCAGGGCAAGCGAGTACACTGCTTTGTAACACTCCTGCTAACAGCAGAAGGCACCACAGAGGTGTCCACTTCCAGGGCAAGAGAGTGCACTGCTTTGTAACTCTCCTGCTAACAGCAAAAGGCACCCCAGAGGTGTCCACTTCCAGGGCAAGTGAGTGCACTGCTTTGTAACGCTCCTGCTAACAGAAGGCACCCCAGAGGTGTCCACTTATTCCGGGGGATACTCGCGATACATTTGAGCCTTACAGAGGATGAAACATACATTCAATGACGTGTGACGCGAACAGTTTGACCACTGGTCAGCCACATCTCTGTATGTTTCTGTTAAAGTTACTTAGTTGTGTATCATTTTACAGGACGTTGCAGAACCAACCCTAGCAATTTTCGGCTGTTGTGGTTTTTCTAAGCAAGTTTTACGTTCAGTAGTTTGTCATGCTATCTGAAAAGTCAGCTCTGGGTACCACTGTCGAAACCACCGCAAGACAAATTTTCCGCAGTTGGGATCGAACGCGGCACTCCAGTAGTTAGAAGCGCGTTCGCAACGACTGGACCCATTCATATTTGTTTCTTTTTTCTTAATGTCCACCGGCCGTAAATCCGACAGAAAGTTATGGTTGTTCGTCCACTTATGGACTTGGTCCTGTTCCTGAATTTTAGTTTTGCGTGCATATCCATTTTACAGATCTGGCTTATTTGTATGCAGATTGTTGGTTCATTGACTCTCATTCAGATATACACCGACTTTGAAGTAAACACCTTTAAATTCTCGCCGTGTACGATATGCTTTTTAGAAAGGCAGGGGGTCTTTTATCTCCACCCCACCCTTCCCACTCTCCCCACCTCTATCCACACACCAAATGGAGGCCCGGAATCCACACAGAGGAATTTCAGTTAAGTTGGTTCTACTGATAACCTACGAAAGAGAAATTGGTTATAGCGCGAGTTTAACATACACACGCCTTCTCTGTCATGATGTTGATCTGTTCCTTTTCTCGACGTCGCATTTTTGCCCAGGGCAGCATGTAGTCTTTACATTGCCCAGCAATCAAATGATCGGAAATCTCCAATGAAACAGATCGCCCGTACTCCGTAAGAGATCTGTTTTCAATTATTGGCACAGTTGCACAATATTGCAGCAATATAATCCAAACATAATGCACCTGCCAAATAAATATAAAAATGGTGAAAATATGGGGGTGACTGCAGTCAAACATTTTTCTGCTTCCCCATTTTGTGGAGCTTTTCAGTCAAATTTATATTGAATTCCAAATGAATGTAACAAAACACGGATAAGTGTGCCTTTGTATGGTGCCCTTAGTGAACTGTTCATGTCTGTTTGCTGCAAGTAGCACTCCCATATCCACCAGTTTGGACATGGATACTGTCAATATTATGGATAAGGATACTGACAGGGATACTTGTATGGTAGAACTGTGTGGCAAGGATTTGGAGAGGTGCGACTCTATGTGAAGTGAAGTAGGAAGGCGGACAGGAGGGGTTAATTTAAGAAGGCATACATTGCAGAACAGCATCTAGGCACGCCAATCCCTCACTGGTTGGCATGACAGAAAACAGTGATTAGACTGGTGGCCCGACCAGCGATACAGATAAAACCAGATGCACTGTGACCAGTTGAATAGATACGTTTATCCAAACGTGACCACCAGAGACAGATGACAGGGAAGTGATTGAGAACCCACGCGGAGTGAGTAGAAAGCGCGGGAATGAGTAGGAGGGAGACAGTCAGTGGCGAGCGGCTGGAGGGGGCAGACAAGAGAGTTAGGACGGCACCGCTGGAGAGAACAGTTAGGACCGGACCGCTTGAGAGACCAGTTGGGAAAACTAGAGCTGTACTTCGTTTAGAAGGTATATGTTAAACTTGGAGTTTAGCTAGAACAGTGATTAAGGAACTCATAGAGAGACATAGGAATAGCCAGTAATAAGAAAATGAAGTGTTCTTATAATATTGTTATTGAATGATTCATTCTGTTTGACTTGATAAGTTTATTAATAAATAAACTGATGTGTAATTGTTACATCACTGGCCTTGTTCTTGAGTACGATCGAAGAGAGCTATGAACTATATCCATAACACACTATGTCCGAATTAGGCACATCTATTTCTTGGGGGATGTGAAGACACGACTGTGTCACATACGACTCTATTGCCTAGTAATGCAATACGACATATGTCAATACTTAAAGAACATGTAGACTACTATTTACCAAAGCCAAGAAACGACAATGAAAATAAAGGCTATGGCTGCTACTGTTGATGCTGTACCAGGAATTTGTCCTCTCCACAAACGAGCATGCACTGACCATAACGACACCACAAGATAAACTGACTAGACACTTTAAAAACGGGGCGATGCTAATTTTGCTCTGCTGCACTACAGGACATTCGAGATATTAATCAAGAAATGAACGAGTGCATTTGCCTAGTGTTTCAAACATCAGTATCACGACAATATCATTGGACAGAAGCTGGAGAGAACAGATCCCTGGCGTTGTAGATATTTTGGTGCTTTGGGACATTAATAAGACATTGATAGTTTAGTCAAAACGCGAATTGAGGAGAGCACAGATGTAGATGATGCTGTGGTTCACACTGATGGATAAGTCACAAGGGGCAAGCGAAGTGCATGGGAGCTCACTATGAGCGCAGAGGGAAAAATCATCAAGGAGATCAGTGGTGCCTTTCCTGTTACAACAAGCCTCGCCTTGGAGACCATGGCTTTAACAAGGCCATTGACATGGCTGGTTACTCAAGAATTCACACACGTATGCCTACTGAGCGACTCCAGAAATGTGCTGAATAAAACCCAGATCTGCTGCATCAGAAATGAATTAATTCTGTTATTAAATGCACTGCGACTAGGAGTTCAGGGCAATGAACGTACAGATCATCTGCCGGACAAAGTGGTTACTATAATTGGCCTGGCCAGGAGCGATGTCGGTACCATACAGGTTTTCACCCCATCTCGTCGGGTACGAGATTTTGTAGGGAATTCCTATAGTTTAGCAGTGTTATGACATGTCTTTTTTCGCCGTGTACATACAATGTACCTTCTTCTTCTTCACGTTCACCAGCTGTAAACTCTGGCAGAAAGTTCTGGCTGTTCGTCCACTTCTGGACTGCAGTCCTATTCCAGAACTTAAATGTTGCGTCTGCATCAGTTTTACAGATATGACTCATATGTATGCAGAATGCTAGTTCCTTGCCTCTCAGGCAGATGCACTCCGACTTCGAAGGAAGCTCCCAACTCTTACGACGTGCTTTTGGGTAGGCAGTGGGTCTATTCTTGTTTTCCCTATAATAGGGCCCCGAAACCCACACGGGGAATACAATGTACCAAAAAGTGTCTCGACTTCGTTCTACAGAGTCCACTCACCGTCTTCCAGACGAAAGTGCGTAGCTTTCATTTTCCCCAGATGAAAGTGAGCAATGTCTTTTCTGTGAACGACTGTTCAAATGTGAGGGTTGGGATTAGATACGGCAATATTGGGTGATCAAGGAGATTCCTGGAGGAGGCCAAGTCACGTAGTAAGAACAACGCTTCCACACAGGCCACAGTGAGGGCGAGGGACGAACGAATGCAGCACACTGTAGAAATGACGATGCAATAAACGATGACAACAGAGGAGATCGCGACAACATGTAGGACTCAGTATCCTTGTGCAGACTGGTGGTCATGGGGGTACAACCTTGAGCAACCAGACATGAACATTACAGAAAGGGCTCAATGTGGCTGGTTAGTCAACAAAGAACAGGCGTGATCTGTCGTTTTATTAACCCTTGTGGAGCTACTGAGGAGGGGATCAGAGTGTCTATGGATCTGTCCGGAGTGCTGTGATTATAACATTCACTAACCACTAGTCGTTCAGATAATTAACACATGCGTTTCAAAACACCTATATTTCAAATAACAATGCATGAAGAAAGTATAAAAACGCAAACATTTAATGATAAAAGCGTCAGTAATTATTATAAAGTCGAGGATAATTAGTATAACTATACAGATAATGAACATAACAACTAACATAATAGGTTAAAGCTAAATCTACGATCAAGCGAACATATCAAAACTGTGAATGACATCAATGACATGGGACCACAATAGTCTGCGGAAGGGCTGCTCATCCAACAATGGTGGCCAGGTTGAGGTCGTGTGTGACACAGTCTGGGGCCAAAGTGAAGACGGCTAGGTTGCTGATGATGCCGGTGATGTTGACGTAGACGTACATGTCGATGATGCCGTGGTAGCCTGCAAATTAAATGTTGGAAACATCAACAACTGACGGGACACGTGGTTTTGGTGTAGCTACATGCTTGACATTCATGCTGCCACCTTTTTACTGACTCACTCAATACTCAGTCAGATTCAGAAAATAAAAGATTAAAGCTTGGATTTCTAGTAATTCCCTTTGGTCTCTGGGTAGTGAGATCAGACGACCGTGTGCATTGTTGCGCACGTCAAAATCCTTTGGCAGTTGGAAATCGAAAAGAGTAGCCTAACAGCGTTGCCCGGGCAAAATTTGGAGCTACAGAGCCTGTGCACTGTGCTGAGCTTCTTCGGACTCAGACGTGAGTTAGAAGAAGAACGGAGCACTTGGTTACACCCGTGTGTGGTCATGTTGATCCGTTGTTCAAACCTCAAACCTCAAGTTTAACGCTAAGAGGAGCTATTTCAATGCAGCTGATGTTTATCTAAAATGGCACGTTCTCTCTATTATGAGCTGCTGCTCATTCACCAGCTTCCTCTCCCGAAAGTTGGGGAGTTTTGACCATGTTAATCGTCATGGTGTCCTGGGGACAATTGTGATGGGGGGTGTTGTTTCCAGGACACGAGGCAGAAACAGACCTCCTCGAAAGTGGAGACAGATAATTGAAGAAGGCACCTAAGACAGGAGAACTGGCGAGAGACTGAAAGAATTGCAGGTGCCCCGTAAGGAGAGCGGCGTTTTTTAAAGAACCCGCTGATTGGAGATGTTCATCCGCCGAGGTCATTGCACTTACGACAAACCTCTGTAGCTCCAGCGTCGATACCTGAAACACACATGTATTCGTGAGCCTAAGGATGGCATCAGACACCAGATGCACGACCATCAAAGCGCCACACACACACACACACACCCCCCCCCCCCCCCCCCAAAGGAAACTCATCATGGTGCTAGGTTTTTAGTAACAACTATTGCAGTTCTACCTCATCTCTTCAGTAGTGAAACTGCAAACCTAGTCGCCTCTAAACAGGGGATACATGGGTCTCAGTTTGCCAGTTGAGCACACTTGAACCTGTATAGCTATGCAGTAAGGAGACACATTCCAGTACTGTATATGTGATAGTGTGATAATGGTTATACAAGGCTGGTAACCCACGTTTCTGTGACAACTACAACAAAGTGCTGGTACCCATCATCAAGGTGTCTGTTGCAGAAACCTGGAGAAAAAAAAACCATATGACTAAAACAAGGTGCCGGTACTACGTAGTTGATTACCGCCAGAAGAATAAAAAGCCCTGTCGTAGCTATGATATTTGGGATGTTGCGAGCGGTCATAATGATTATATCAGTAATATAGCAGAATACCATAATGATTGTAATAAGTAAAATGTCGATGCACTCACCGTACTGCTGAGACATAAATGGCTCATACACCTGTGCAGTGATCACAGAAAAGAAGATCCTGTAGATGGTGTCGTACTCCGTGGGGATGTCAAATGTTCTAACCGCCATTTTGTTGCCGCCGGCAATGTCTACGGTACCGTACACCTCAGGAACAGCCTTGGCGTAAGCTGCAATGGCAAGTTATATGTTAATATTAGAGACCCCTGGCTTGAGGATGTCGATCGCTTTCCATTCTTAGATGTCAACCTAATAGTTTACAACTACCTCCCATTATCGATGGCAACAATATTTTTTTTAGATTTACACAAGATCATAAGTGTCCACTAGGTTGTTTAGTTGCCCACATTTGTTCTCCATCATTGCAGATCCTAAGTCCGGATAAGAAAGGAAAAGGGTCGGTCGTGGACCGGTTCCCACCCTCTGGACGCCAGCTGCAGAAATTTTAAAAGAATGAGAAAACAAGGGCTTCAAATGAAACTCTAAAACGAACGTTGATGAAAGAAATCAACAATTCTAGATTATACTGTATCCACGATATCGAAAGGATTGTCCATTACTATAGGGAATGGGAAATTAAGCTACACGTAATGTATTAGTTGCACAGGATCATGATTATGATGAGGAGGAGAAGGGAGAGAGTCATGATGGGGATGATTTGATCCACGCTTTCAAAGTTATCTGGATTATTTAGAACCATCAACGTTTATATCCTTTTCATTCATCAAATCCTGGCGAAGTTTACTGTAGGTGTTAGGTAGGTAAGTTGTACCCCACCTGTATATCACACAAGCGATAAACACTCGGAGACTCAAAGTGCCACCATGCGGATGAGGATCACCCTTGGAGAGGTCCCGGTAACGCTGTCAGCCGTTTGGCCATATTTATGGTTCGGCTATATTTAGGGCTCCCGGCACAAGCCGGTGACGACTTGTAATAACGAGGTTACGGAAGTGGAATCTTCTTGTATAGACTATTGATGGAGACAGTTTTCGTGAACCTCGTCTCTCTAACCACCAAGAGACATTATTACTGTATTACAGAGATGAAAACGTGCTTCCTGGTCCAGACGGTTAAGTTTGATATTCATGGCATCACGAAGGAGACAAAATAACGAGTGAAGGGTCCCAACTTGAAGGGTGTCTCGATG